TCGCACGTACCTTGTGACGTCGGAGGCAAGGCCTTTATATAAGCAAGCTGTCGTGGGCCTCACGATGTGTGTTCGAGATCACTGGCCCGTCAAACCTAGAGTTAGCTTTGCACCCGATGATGGACTCTGAGTAAGCTGATAAGGCTTATTCAGGTCCGTCCGAATAGGGTGGGTGAAGATAAGATTCGTTAACGTACACCATGATCCCGAAGAGATCGGAGATAGCTAACTTTCTTCTAGAAGGAGGCTACGTGGCACCTCGACAAGTCGGAGGATGTAGCTAGGGGTGTAAACAAATCAAATTCGATTCGAATCAGGCAATATCCGAATTCGAATCCGATTAAAAAATCTGATATCCGAATTTGATTCGATATCTGACGGATATCGAAAATTAATATCCGAATTTGAATCTGATTAAATATTCGATTACATTCGAATTTGATTAATTAATTATTTTAGATAATTAATAAATATATAAAATAAATATTTTATTGATATAAATTATATAAATATATAAATTATTTATATAACTTAATTGTTGTATATATAGACTATATAAAATATTTTATATATTATAGATAAGAATTAAATAATCGGTCAAATTCGGATGTTTATCGAATCCAATCAGGTCATATCCGAATTCGAATTCAATTAACTATTCGATATGAATAGGATATCCGAATTCGATCGATTAGATATTTGAATTATATGCATTCGATTTGATTATGTCGGATATTGAATTCAAAATCTGATTTTCAAATACCGTTGACACCCTTAGATGTAGTGAGCTATTCGAGCCTCGGTCTAGCTGGATGACCCAAGGTTCCCAAGGTGACTAGGACCGTTAAGGTGTTCAAGGTTGCTAAAGTATTGCCATATCATTTTGTTGCACCACGTGTCATAATATCATTGTGTCAAATTATCCCTCATCAACGCCCAATGACCTAATTAGTGTTTTGAAACACATTTTGATTTTGTCAAATGCTATATCAATTGAGATTGAGCTCTTCTTTTCTTCTTCCCTTCCTTATATATAGTTGTACGACCATACGACACCGTCTTGACTCGTATGAAATGAAAAATTGATGAAACCGCATACCGGACAATGGACCCCACCAAAGATATGCGAGAATAGACCTGGCAATTGGGTTGCGTGGGTCGGGTCTTCGGGCTTATTTCCAATTTGGTTGAATTGTCAAATGTTAGACCCTAATCGTAAATGTTCGATTTAGGGACTCATGGGTCAATTCCGATTATTTCGAAATGTAGTTAATATTTAAAAAATAAAGAAAAAATATATAAAAATTGCCAAAATTAAAGGAATTAACTTTAAAGTTTTAAATATAAAATAAAAAATAAACTTAAACATTTAATAATTCAAAGAATAAACAATAAAGACTAAATAATAAAAATTAAAGAATGAAAACTTCTAACAATACATATATAATCCCAATTAGACATAACAATCGAATTAACAGGTTGTAATTCTAATAGCTAAATATAATACCCTAACCCTATTTTTTGGATTGGGTTCACGGGCCCAAGAATTGTATTATTTAAATTTTGAGAAGATACTCAAAACCAAAACGTCCTAACTCTTAGGTGGGTTGTTAGCCTAATACCTAACCCCATTTTGAATTTATTATAATTATTTATTAATTACTGTTGATAATTATAATTTAGGATAAATTACAAAGACCCCCTGTACTATGGGGTCTTTAACAAAAACTCCCTGTACTTTGTTTTGGACAAAGACCCCTTCTGTTAGCCTTCTGTCCAAAAAAATTATTACAATATTTTTTAATTCTCATACTATCCTTATAATTAACTATTCGAACAATAAAAATACTGTTAATTCTCCAACCTTAGAATTCACTAACAGCAGCGGTGGTACTGGTGGATGTATACAAGATAAGTAATAACATTAAAAAATATGTAACTCAGACATCAACAAAACGCACATAAAATGATTTTTCATCAAACATATAAAGTAACAGACGTTATGCAATCAAGGGCTCTGACGTAGTGGGATCTCTGAAATTTTACGACCCCTGAAAGATTCTTGTATAAGAAAAACCCATCTCAAAGCCATGGACGGGTGAGCAAAAACCGTAAATCAAGGGGTCTTTTATTTTGTAAGAAACTGTAAATAAACTTGAACCCTCCCAAACCAATAAAAAACTGAAGAATAAAAGAAAGAAAGGTAAAAATACGAAAAAAAATACACGAGAAATTCGATACGGAAAATAACAAAGAAAATATGAAAAAAAAAATAGAAGATTAGATCCAGAAAGTAAAACAGAGTGGCAAATCCAAGCAAAACAAAGCACAAGGAACCATAGGTGCAATGCAAACGATGGAAGCTTTAGAACTCCAACGACAAATCCATACAAAACTGTGAAGAAGAAGAAGACCCTTAAACAAAATAATAAATTCATATTACAAAAGAAACACATATAGACAGAGAACAAGGATACGCTTCTCGGGCTGTGTTTTCGCAGCCATAGGATCACACCAGAAATCCCCAATGAAGAATCCTTGATTTTTTCCCTCCAGTTCGAAAGACAGCTGAGACAGATCTACGAGACCTCCCCGAAATCCGCTCTTAGAGGTCAAAAACCGCCTCCAAAACAACCTAATCTGGAACAGAACCAAGATCTTCCTATGCGAATAGATCGGCCGAGAACCCGCTTCAAATCCGGAACCAAGATCCTCCTATGCGAATAGATTGCCCTTTTAATTTGTGCATTGAATCATCTCGGATGTATAGAAGGATTGTCGAAACCCCTTGGTTCAACTGGAACCCGAAACTGGTCGCGAGTGTCATTGCTTATCTGGATGAGCACGGACAGCCTGAAGAAGCCGAAGCCCTGATTTTCGAATCCGTCCAGAAACTAAGGTTTCAGGAGTGAGATGTCGCTCTCTTCTAATTCCTAATCTAAACGGAGATCAAGGATTAAAACAAAGTACAAGGGATTACGGAAGGTGAGGGGAAGATGAAAGACTGTTTTTCTTGTTCGAATAGTTATTATAAGGGTAGTATGGAGATTAAAAAATATTGTAACGACTTTTTTGAATGAAAGGTCAAGGGAAGGGGTTTTGGGGGTCTTTTTAATTTATTATAATTGTCCTAACTCTTAAGCCGACCTGTTTAATATGAACAATCAATCATGAAGTAGCGATACATTAATCAATATGCTCTCTTTTTTATGCAATACATTTTTCTTTTTATTTTTTCTTGAAAAAAAATCATTTTAACGACAATTTACGAGAAACTACTGAAAAATGAAAGTCAAACAAAGCCAATTTCTTACAACTGAAACTTTTCCACCCTATTTCTCTCAAAGAAAACAACTTTTCCACCTATAGGTTACGAACTCACGATGAGGGCGAGGGCTTTGGGTTGGAAGAAGAAAGACTATAAAATGGTCACGTCGTCGCTAGTATTAATGGCGCGAATTCTTCACCGTTAAATGAGACGTTCTCTTTTTATTAGGGGAAAAAGGTGTTTAGTGACTTAGTGACTACGGAGGACTACGGACTTCGTCTTCTCACTGTCATGCCTCGGCAGTCAATTTTCCCCTCCCCCTTTTTTCCTCTTACATAGTTTGTCTAATTATATATCCTATAATCACACAACAATCAATGAGTGTCTATCACTCTTGCTTTTCCCTCTTTTTTCGAAGAAGGGTAAACTACGCAGTTCGCCTTTGCTTGCCCACCAAACCTTCTTTCTTCCTCGCCAAATATCCTGCCGGAATCCGACACTTTCATTGACGGAAAATTCTTTCTCAGTCATCTGTTCGTTGGGGTCAATCGACTTGCTTGTAGCCTTATATTATTCTTTAGTACACTATACACATCTATGTATCAATCTTTATGGAAGATTACATAAGCAGCTAAGATGAAGACTATTAGGGTAAGAGGTATTCTTGGATTTTTATTTCTGGAGTAGTCATCTTATCGAATTATCATGGCTCTCTCTCTCTCTCTCTCTCTCTCTCTCTCAAGTTCTACTGAGTAGGAGATGCGTTCTAATTGAAAAAAATAAAAAATAAAAAAAAGGCCAGTGCTTGCTATGAATTCGATTTCATGCGGACAATAAATTAAAATTGTTATTTTTTTTATGATTTTGCGGAGATTAACAATGGTGTATTTAAGAATTTCTAACTGAAGTAGTGCCAAATTTTGGTTGTTATATCATCAAACAAATTTTCCTTTAAGTGAAAGATCATAAAAAGAACTGAACGAAAGTCAACCATCATTAATTGTTTGATGGGTTCTTTCAATTGCCATAGACATTTTATCATTTCATCAATAGGCATTTTGTTTGTCCCCCAGTTGTAACTCAAAGATGAAGGGTCATACTCAGATAAACCCGCATTTCCATGAAGGTTTTCCATTGCACCAAGTAATGGCCCCGCCCGTACCTAGAAAAACTTGGGTAGGAAGTAGAAATACTTAATGATCAGAACTGTGGTAGTTCCAGCCATAAGCTATGAAAAGCTTCACCTTTTTTTTTAGTCTGTATCCATAAACTAGGAGACGAGATGGTGGGGTCCCAATATCAAATTGTAGGATGTAATGTAGAAGTAGAACGCTTGCATTTCCAATTTCCATATGTTGTTCAGTTGTTGTGAAAAGAAATGAAGACTACATGCTAGCAGTGTATCTCTCGGATCTTAAAAACAAAGAAGAAAATGCAAATAGCAGTGTATCTCTCGGATCTTAACCCAGGGGAAAGCAGAAGCGAGGCGGTTGTTTTCAACAAGAAAAGCATAGGTACTCTAGTTTCCTCCACCCACGGTAAGATCTCCCGTCGCTCGGGAACTCGGGTAAGACTCCCCCGCTCTTTCTAGCATTGCCATTGCGATCCTGGTATACCTTCTCTAAATCCTTTTTACGTTCTTGGTTTAACCGCTGATCGTTTTCTTCAGCAACTCTGTTTCCCCAGATTTCTTCTCTCACTCTTCCTTTGATCCGTAAACTCAAGGTTTCTCCCTTCAGTAGTCTAGCTTTGTTTTTATTTTACTTTAGTTTTTTCTGAAATCCTGTTAGAATTAATTAGCTTTGTCGCTGCTCCTTAGATTTTCTTTATCTGTTACTGTGCTTTTTGCTATATTCTTATGTTGTTGGTGCTGAGAGCCTATACAATGGAATAACCATAGGCATGCCACTAAGAGTTGCAGTTTGGAAAATAGATGGGAAAAACTGTTCTTTCCAAAAAGAGTATGACCATTCATAACAAAAAATCGGTAAGAAACGATAAGACTGATAAGACTGGAGGGACATTAGACTCCACACCATTTGAAACTGATTTAAGTTTCAGACCCTAGAGAAATGGATCTCTAGGAAGGCAATTAAACATTTACTTCGAAAACCCAAAATTCACAAAGGAAAAAAGAATCAAGGAAAGAAAGAAAGAAGGGGAAACTCTGACAAATGATATGGACAAAGTGGATCGAACAATGAGAACAACTGATTCAAATTTCAAACAAAAAAAAACTACCATTATGAGATGCCAATCTCTGAAAATAGGAAAAAAGCAAGTGGAGCTTAAAGGGAGCCAATTAAGAATGATAAGAAAACTCAGGTTGAACTCTCAAAAGAACCTATTGAAAATTACAAACAAGTAAAGATCCCTCGTAGCCTTGAAACTCAGAACCGGATCTGGAAGAAGATTGATGTCAAATCAGGATTTACTAGTGAAACAAAGTTACTGATCAACCTCAAGACATAAGAGCAATTGAGAAAAGCAATGTAGCCAAAAAGGAACCAATGGAGAAAGATACTGAGGATAAAGTGGAGAAGAAAATTGAGGCAAGAGAAGTGGAGAGCAGTAATGAAGCCAAAGAGCTGGAGTCTACAAGTAAAAGAAATTTAATTAAAGTAGATGTTAGCATTGCTGCAGAAGCCTGTAGGTCAAAATGAAAGGAAATAGGATATGATTACCCCAAGAGTTTTGAAACGACCAGTAGATTTGAAATGAGTAAAAGTCGTGAAACAAGTGGAAGAAACTCAACAAACTCAGAGCCAGGAAATACTAGCAATTTTAAGATTGATTCAACCAGAAAAATGGAGGTGACTGATGACCTTTTGCCAATTGTAGAAGAAGACAAGAACTCCTCACTGAAAGAGGAACGAAAAGATGAAAAAAGAAAAGAAAGGAAGAGGAAGATTGAAAATCGAATAAATGCATTAACAAAGGAGGAGGGAAGCAAGAGTTTGATTAAGGTAAAAAGTGATGACTGGTCTGACACTGAATGGAGGTTGGATGACTCAGGTCACAGTACAAGTGGATGAAGAATGACCCAACAAAACCTTTGGATCAAGACCAGAAGTCAGTTGGAAGTGCGCAAAGGAGGTTAACTTAGACCTGCATTGACCAGTGAGTGAGAGCAACAAGTGGAACCTTTGCCTCCAAGCAAAGGTCCTCAATGAAATAGTACACATCGAAACAATCACTGTCAAAGCAAAAGATGTGTGGCAAATCACTGGATGACTATAACTATGATAAGTATTGGTAATGGTTATTTTCTCATTTCCTTTGCTTCAGAGGAAGATCTTAATAGTGTGCTTAAGTCTGAACCCTGGTTCATTAATGGCAAATACTTAGTTTTGGCAAAACGGGTGTCGGGCTTTAATTTCTTTCTAGCTAAGGTCACTCAAACTGACTTGTGGATAAAAATCCTAGGACTCCACTTGGAATTCCGGGAAGAGGAATATCTACAAATCATACTGAGAGAAGTTGGATCAGTCATGAAATTGGATGAAAATACACAGAACTCTGGCCAGAACTATTTTTCCTAGGATTTGTGTGCGAGTGGACCTGGAACGACCCTTCATTTTGGAAATCCCTGTTACAGTTGGAGGTGTCCAACATGTATACAACATTTTCTACGAGAATGTGTACAATCTTTGTATTGGGTGTGGACGTCTTGGACACAAGGATCCTCCGTGCTCTTTCAACAAGAAAAAAGCAAACCAATCTATTGCAGATGGGTGGACTGTTGTTAGAAAAAAGGATCAAAAAATTAGCCACTAAGCCAAGGGTTTTTAATATGAACCTGGAATGGAACAAGGCTAAAGAAGCTAGAGGTACAAGATATATTTCAAACCGCTTAAGCTCCAGAACGTCTTAACAGATGGAACCTATAGTTTTTAAAGTCTTCTAACCACAATGTAAAATCTAAAGAGGTGACCCCAAGATTTATGACAGTTGATCCCTCAAGAAAAGTGGCTAAGTGGGTTCTCAAAGCTGATGTCAGCAAGGAAAACTCATCCAAAGAGCTAGAGAAGTAATGCAGGAGGACAGGTTAAGAATATCTGTTCTAGTGATTTTTATAGCAAAAAACCACCCAAACTGTTTGAGAAATTCAAGAGAAAGAAAGAAAATTGAGTGAAGAAAGAAAAAACAGCTTCCTTAAGCTTGAAGCAATTGAATATCCTCCTTTTTTTTCTTTGAGTAGCAGCTAATAGTGTTCTTATATAGGAGTTCTGTTTTGGCCAGCAACCAATAATATCCTGAAATTACAAAAAAAAACCCTTGTCCCAAAATAGCAAGGAAAACCCAAAAATAACCTTATCTAATATCTATATACCTTGTAAGACTCTTCCTAACAATAATAATCCATTAGAAATCATTAATTGACTAAGAAACAACCTAGGAAATCATCAAAACAAAATTAAAACAAGAAAATAGCTAAATTCAAGCATGGGAATGTTTCACTTTCTTATTCCTTCTAGATTTGTCACATATTTCTTCATAATTAAGTTCTGCAGCCTCTACATGAGTCCTCTCCACTTGAAGTGGACTCACCCTCGAGTCTTGTTTGGAGAAGGGTGGATGGTACTCAAAGAGATCAGCAACATTGAAAGTTCTAGATAATATTCATGGAAGTAGGAAGGTCTACAACATAGGCATTGTTATTAATCTTCTTCACGATCTTGTAGGGTCCAATCTTCTTTGGCTGCAACTTGTTGCATTGCCCTGTAGGGAACCAGTCCTTCCTTAGAAATACCATTCCTTCATCCCCCTTCTTGGAAAAATTTTGGTCACCTATGCTGATCGGCTACTTATACTTGGCATTGACCTCATCTAGTAATAACTCCCAACATTAATAAACTTCGATGCATCCCTAAAATCGGATGGCTCATGTTCCTTCGGTTGCATAGCAAGAGATTACAAAGGACAGGTTCTGATTGCAAAAGTGAGGTGGATTGGCATCTCCTCCATCAGCGTAGCAGAATGCTGGGCAGCAGTTGAAGCTCATAAGATTGCAATCAACAGTGGTTACAACAGCGTATGGATTAAGGTGACTCCAAGATGGCAATTTATTGTCTTTTCCAAAAGGATAAACCACCTTGGCAATGCGGGCAACTAATCCAGGACTGCAAGAAAATGGCAATTGACAGTGGTCTTCATGTAGTTACACTCACACCTGGAGGGAAGGAAATCAAGCAGCTGACTGGCTTGCTAACTAGGAAATCAAAATTAGGTAATTTTTTTCTAGTGGTGTTCCTTGGGCCCTCTCCTACATATGTGCATGGACATATGGGGAAAGGCCATGCTTCGTTAGGCTCTTTTTTTCACTTTGTATAAGAAAGAGCTTCATTTTTTTACAGTAGGTGAGATAATCGGGTGAGTGTTCTGTTATTTGCTAAATTGCATTTTATAGTATCAGTGTCAGATTCTTATCAGTCATCATATCAAATATAGAACATTGTTGTTTAAACATATGGAAACTTCTGAGAAGATTGTGAAGTTTTACAGAAACATTGAAATAATATTAAAGTCTTAACTCATAAAAACAATAGGTTGAGACTAGCAAAGAAATATACTTATAGAAAAGGTAGTCAGGTGGATATATTTGGGATTCCAAAGAGTAGTTGTCAAAATCTGACGATTCACAACTCAAGTCATGAATACCAAGGGATTTGATTCAAATCTTATGTCTGAATCTTTTTTTTTTTTATATATAACTTATGTCTGATTCATGATTCATCAACCTTATGGATTCTCTACTTTGTCATACCTTTGTTGTTTTTTAATATTTTTCATGGGGCTCTTGTTTTAAAATCCTTACTAGAAAAAGGTTTGTTTAAGTTATTTAAGACCTATTTATAGACCTTATATGAGTGTATTTTCTATCATATTGTAGGGTTTTTTTGGTACTATCATATTGTAGGTTAAAGAGCCATTTAATGTGGGTTAATTGGCTTTTAAGTTAATCTTAATTATATCATCTTATGTTCTGGTCAACAAGCAATAAGCCCTGTTTATCATCCACCTATATGGTAGTCCGGATAAAATGGGTACATATAAAAGCTTTTAGTATTTATGTTTTTAATTTGACAAATTATCACAAAATTTGTATTAGACCCTGATTGTGAATCAAATTTAACATCTAGATCTGTTTTTTATTCATTATTTTTATGGACTTAACTTGGGAACTGTTTGGGCCTTTTGCAGGTTATCACAAAAGAATCCCTTTTGATTGCACAGGTAAATTCATCCCATCCATTATTCCTATATTCCTGCAAATGTAATAAGTTCATCATACCATAGGTATTGTTTTTCCACTCTTGTGACTTAATTATATATCTAATGGGTGGTATGAATCCATGTAGAGAGAAGATTTGCAAAGAGTAATGGACTTGCTAACACTGGATGAGCAACATGCACGGAGTCTACTTATTTATTATCACTGGGATATTGAGAAGGTGCTTGCAGTGCTAGTGGAGAAGGGGAAAGACAGGTTGTTTTCTGAAGCTGGTGTAACAGTGGTTGAGCATAAATCCTCATCGCTATCCACTTCTGCAGTAATGTGCTATATTTGCATGGATGACATTCCTGCCAATGATATCACAACAATGGACTGTGGTCATGGCTTCTGCAATAACTGTAAGCAGTCTCCCAAGCTTTTTGCACTCTTTTGAAAAAAAAAAAAAAGAACAAAATTCTGCAAAAGAAGGATTATGATTCCTATCCAAAATCTCGAAAATTTTGAGCCATAATATAGGAAATTATGAAGACATGCATGAATTTACTTGTGTATGTATGCATAAAGGCATTTTGTAGATATATTTAGGTGGGTAATTATGTATATCCTTCTATGTACTGAAACCTGTGCCTCAAGAGACTGGATCTGCTAGTAAGAAAAGAACGCAAGGCACATCACAGTTTTGTGCCACCTGTCCTTAACACATGAGAAACATGTAATTGTGCATATCATTTTTTGAAAACCTCATGTGTTGAGGATAGATAGCACAAAATTGTGATATTTCTAGCATTGTTTGTTACTAGAAGATCCAGACTCTTACGGTCTTACCACAGTTGTTTTCTGCCATGTGCAGTTCTGACATGGTAAACCCAGACTGTTCATTTGAAACTGGACCTCTGATTCATTTTTATGTCTACTTACCTTGTCAATCAGTCATACCTTTCTTACACATGGCAGTGTTGCACTCTAGTCCTAAAACAGATGGACATTAATAATTTTGTGTTCTTAAATTTAGCAAGATGTTATAATGCCATGGCCAGCAGTTATGGTTGATCAGTTGCAACACATCAAAGCCTTTGGATAGAAAGCACCAAATCATGTTTCATCTCAATTTTGAATAACTATGGTTCTGGTTGCGCTAATGTTCATAGATAGATAAGCTAATTAGAAAATCTGCTTTGATTAGTTTCACCAAATCATGTTTCATCCCAAATCTTGTTAAGGATATCCATACAATATAATGAAGAATATTCTATTTTTTGTTTTACTTTGAAACAAGGGAACAAAAAATATCCATACGAATATAAAGATAGATTATTGAATCTTTTTAATGTTTTGGCTTCTGCAAATAGGTTGGACAGAGCATTTCATTGTGAAGATAAACGAGGGTCAGAGTAGGCGTATTAGATGCATGGCACACAAGTGTAATGCTATCTGTGATGAAGCTGTAATTAGAAATCTAGTCAGTGCAAAGCATCCTGATCTTGCTGAGCGATTTGAACGTTTCCTTTTAGAGTCATATATTGAGGACAATAAAATGGTAAAATGGTGCCCCAGTGTTCCCCATTGTGGTAATGCAATACGTGTGGAGGGAGATAAGTTTTGTGAGGTCGAATGTGCATGTGGGCTACAGTTCTGTTTCAGTTGCTCGGAAGAGGCACATTCACCTTGTTCTTGCCTGATGTGGGAGCTTTGGACCAAGAAGTGCCAAGACGAATCAAAAACTGTTAGTTGGATGGCAGTAAATACAATGCCTTGCCCAAAATGTGACAAACCAGTCGAGAAAAATGGTGGCTGCAATTTTGTGAGCTGTATTTGTGGACAAGCATTTTGGTGAGAGTTCTTTTTCCCTTGTTTTTTCATTTGCAACTTTATGCAAGATGGGTGGTAGATTTCCAAGTACTTATTCTTTCCTAATGTGAACTTAATTTGAAATTACTGTTTAATTTTTCCTAAGATTCCATGCTCATGCAAATTTGCATTTGCCCTAGAATGACATGATGTTTGCATCGTATTTGTATTTGGGCACCCATTTAGGGGCATGTAAGTTATTTTTCAACATTAAGCTAAATGAAATCTTTCTGGGTGTGCATAGTAACGCACAGCATTCCCCCAGATTCCAAGTTGGTATTAGAGCAAGTTGGGATCTTGGAAGAGCCTTCTAGACACCTTTGAACCCAAGAAGACCTGTTGATGTCAAACCACCATCAGATGACATCAGCAATCCGTACAGGTGCCGGTGAAAACCCTTGAATCTAGTTCAGTGCGGTGTGCCTTAGTTTTAGAAAGATTTTGGTTTATTGTGTGCCTGTCAGTTGTTGGGGTGTTCTATGGCTATTGAGTTTCTTGTACAAGCCTAATGGAATTGCTAAAGGAGGTATAGACTGTTTCCGGAATGCTCCCAGGCAATGTCGATGCTTCTAGTGGTATGATAACCACTATAAAACTTGATGGGACAAACTTTCTAGAGTGGTCTTGATCAACCAATCTTACCATTAGAGGGAATGGTAAGCTAGGATTCAATACAAGAAAGGAGGTGAAGCCAAAATCTAATGACCCCAAGTTTTCCAAGTTGGAACAAGAGAATTCTTTGGTTATGTCATGGCTAGTCTATTCGATGCAACCACATACAGCCCACAATTACATGTTTCTCTCTACTGCCAAAGATATTTGGGATTATGTTACTTCCACATACACCCAAGTTAGAGGAATACATCTCAAGTCTACCAACTCCGAAGGGTAGGGTTGTTCATTCGGTCAGTTTGGTTTGGTTTTAAATTGGTTAGTTTGGCTAGTTAAAATATAAATGTATGTTACATTTATATTAATAATTATTATATATTATTATTAATATAATTAGTAATATTAATATATATTATTGTTAATATTAAAATTAATATTTATAATTAAAATATAAATATATGTATTTATTTTGGTTAATCCGGTTGTTGGTTCGATTCGGTTAAATTTTTTCTCAAACCAAATTGAACCGAAAACCAAAGTAACCAAACCAAAATGGCTTACTTAGTTTGGTTTGGTTTAGTTTTTGGTTTGATAACCGAATTTGAACACCCCTACTGAAGAGAAGCTTGTAACATGCATCAGGGGGAGTTGGGCCTTTCCTAAATAATAACTTCACTTGGTCCAACCTTCAATCAAGGCCAATTTGCTCTAAGTTGGACAGATTTTTGTTCTCAACAGATTGGGAGGAACATTGGGGCAATATTACTTCTAGGGCTCTCCCTAGACTTGCTTCAGACCACTGGCCTATAGTGTTGGTCAAGGAGGAAATAAGAGGAGTTGGGCCTATCCCTTTCAAGTTTGAAAACATGTGATTGACTCATCCGAGTTTCATTGAGAAGATCAGAGAGTGGTGGGAGCAAGCTAATTCGATAGTTGATTGGGAGGGAATGAGGTTCCACAAGAAACTCCAATACTTAAAATCACAATTAAAGGAGTGGAATAGGCTGGAGTTTGGAAGATTAGAAGAGAGAAAACAAGTTTTGGTGGAGCAAATCGAGGATTTGGACCTGAAGGAAGAGAGAGCCTCCTTTGGAGAGGAAGAAAGGA